ACACACACACACACACACACACACACACACACACACACACACACACACACACACACACACACACACCTTTTAGTTGCCACTTAGGCCAATCCTTTGGTCCCTGTCTTTATTTCATTGCTGTTGCTTGCTTACCCAGGCACTAGGTGGCGCTGTGGTTTTGTCAAGGTGCAACAATATGATGTAAAATGGTGTTTTGAAGCTGTTTCAGTGTGTGTGTGTGTGTGTGTGTGTGTGTGTGTGTGTGTGTGTGTGTGTGTGTATAGGACAGTTATCACTTATTCAACACTCATGGTGTTTTGTCTCTGACTCATCCTGTTTGTGGTTAGCAGCAGAACGATGAGCTCATTTTTACCCATTTTTAAAGGTTTAAATATAATTTCCAGCCACTTTGTTGCATTAATAATAATGTTTTTTTTTACGTCTCATGCAGTTTTATCTCCTTGGGATTATAAACGTACTTGCATGTTTTATATTTTTCATATTTTGTGACCAGCATGTGACTTTTGGACAATCAGCGGTGCGCTACACTACATCCTGATTGCTCATGAATGCTAATCAGCAGTAGAAACGCGAAGCCTGCAGTTCACAGAGGGAAGATTTGTGGTTGTATTTCCTGTGAATATATAGCAGTATAGCAGTGAGCGAACCTGCAGTCTGGCTGGGCGCCATCAATAATTCACAGTGCAATAATTCCAGCGAGCCTCATTGCTTCAGCTCTGAGTGACAGGACATAAGAAGAGAGGGAAGAGAAGATGAGAGTAGAGTAAAAATCCGAGTAATAATATAATAAAGTTTTGTCGGGTTAAAATACTTTATCTAAGTTTTATCACATGTGAAGAGGGATAGTTTTGTAACTTTTCAGAGCTGAATTAACTGCTCTTGCTCTACTCTGCCGCAGTTTATACATTCAGACTTATTAACATGTTTCTTTTTTTGTGTCAGAACTGGGAGAAATCAGAAATATGACCACCAGTCAGCCTTCTCTGGAGCTCGATGGTTTGGAGAAGTACACCAACTACAGCATCCAGGTGTTAGCCTTCACAAATGCTGGAGATGGTGTCCGCAGTGAACAGATCTACGTCCGCACCAAAGAGGATGGTATAAGAAATACCAGATAACTCCCCGTTGACTATAGTTTAGTTGCTCCTGGAAAATGCTTCAGTGTAAATGGCACTGTGTTGTTCCTCTGCAGTTCCTGGGCCTCCAGCAGGAGTGAAGGCCGCGGCCTCCAGTGGCTCAGAAGTCTACGTGTCCTGGCTGCCTCCGCTCAAACTCAATGGCATCATCAGGAAATACATCGTCTTCTGCTCCAACCTGCATCCGATGGTAATAGCATTTGTATACCACAAGATTTTCATGGTCTTCTTCAGTCTTCCTCACAAGCCTCTCTGCACTTTCTCATGCTGATGCTGCCCAGTGATACATTAATCCTTTCCGTCCCTTCGCTTCACAGGTGATGAGTGAGTTTGAAGCTTCTCCAGATGCATACATCTACAGGATCCCAAACTTGGTTCTGACCAGACAGTACAGTATCTGGGTGGTGGCTGTGACTGCTGCAGGTCACGGCAACAACAGTGAGAAAATCACAGTGCAGCCTCTGGCCAAAGGTACAAAATCCTAACTAAACTGGCCTTTTTTGTGTCATGTAGGAATTTTCCCACGAATTATTTCTTTAAGTGGAATTGAATGGTTCCTTTAATAGTGGTGCTTTAATCACACAGAGCATAAACTTATAAGAAGACAGGAACAGTAACTTATTTTTGTGCTGCTTTTAGCTCCAGCTAGGATCCTGACGTTTAATGGGACAGTGACCACTCCTTGGATGAAGGACATTGTTTTACCATGCAGGGCAGTTGGAGACCCTCCTCCCACCATCAAGTGGCTCAAGGGAAAGTAGGTCTCACACAGACGCACAAACAAGCATGTAGTACTGGTCAGCAGGATACAGATAGATTATTTTCATGCCTTTTTCCAGCACCAATGGGACACCTACACCCGTCCTGGTGGATGGTCGTCGTATTGTCTACGGCAATGGCAGCTTCCTCATCCGCACAGTGAAAGCAGAGGATTCCGGGAACTACAGCTGTGTGGCCAGCAACAACTGGGGGTCAGATGAGATCACACTCAATTTGCAGGTGCAAGGTAAGAAGTATTTATTTTCTACCTTTTATATACACACTCACTGGCATTTGGGTGAGGTACACCTGTTCAGCTGCTTATTAACACAAATGTCTAATCAGCCAATCACACGGCACAAACTCAGTGCTCAGGGTTTAGGCGTATAGACATGGTCAAGACCAAACCAAGTATCAGAACGGGGAAGAAAGGAGATTTAAGTGACTCTGAACAACGTATACAGTCGTGCCACTGCTGCCAGCTAAGATCAGGAAACTGAGGCTGTAATTCAGATCATCTCAAACTGGTTTCTTGAACATTACAGTGAGATCACTGTACTCAAACGGCCTCCACAGTCACCAGCTCTCAGTCAAACAGAGCACCTTTGGGATCTGGTGAAACAGGAGATTCATGGACTCATGGAAGTGCAGCCAGTAAATCTGCAGCAACTGTTTAACGCTGTCATATCAATGTAAACCAAAATCTGTGAATCTGTGTCACGAAGAATTACTGCAGTTCTAAAGGCAGCAAGGTGCCCAACCCAATTCCTAATTACAGTGAACACCATATAGAGTAAACTGACTTTTTACTTGGGTCAAGTGAACCATGAGACACTTTAATCCAAGCGACTAACCGAGCATTGACCTTTGTTTGTCCTCATATCCACAGTACCACCTGATCAGCCACGCCTCACAGTGACCAAGACCACCACCACATCGATCACATTGTCATGGATACCAGGAGACAACGGAGGGAGTTCAATCAGAGGTGAGGGTGTCCAACATCAACATAACATGTGCACATACAACAGACAGTACAAGGAAGTGGAGGGTCAACAACATACACCTTTATATAACAACAATTACCCCCACCACCACCACCACACACAAACTGTGGCCTGACCCCCATTTCTGCTGCTCGTGTGTCATTATCTGCTGGTGCAGCACAATACTGGAGTCCTAAAAGCCAGATTAAAAAGCAGCAGGGAAGATTAGGTCCTTTTAAGTGAAGATTAAAGCGCTCCATCTTAAAGAAAGTGTAATCACACTGAGACTAGTTGTAGTTATTTATCATTGCACATAATCGAGGGGCTCCTGTGCTCAGAGCTGGAGCCGTTAAAGAAGCTGTCTATGATACCTTCTCTGTGATATTTGTTTTGCTTTCCTGCACAAAGCAACAGCCATCACCAAAATACACACATCTACTGCAAGTTTACTGATGTCTGTTTGCAGGCTAGCATGCAGCCTTTTCTCGGGATCCTGTGATCCTGTGAGCGGTTGGTCTATTTTTCCTCATCCTTTGACCACAAAACCTATAAACAAACTGTGATTTAATTTTTCAGCTTCCTAGCCGATACGTGCCAAATTTATCTGAAATAGTTGGACCTGTTTGCCTTGATTCACAGTTGAGATCCTTTTTAGATGTTTAAGTTCTTCCATGTCATAACATTTTTCGAAATTGTTCCAGGAATTTCCAGAATAAGCCTCTGTCTAAGCATTATTGAGAGTTTTCCTTTGATGATAAATGCAGGACCAGAAAACATTCTGGTGAATTAAAGGCTACAAATGTTTGTCTCTGTAAACAAAATACTTTCTTACATCCAATAATTAACTGTGGAGCCATAAATATATTAAAAAGGTAGGAACACAAGCTTACTATGTATTACTGGAAAAATATCAAATTTATTCGGACTCAGCTCACTCCAGATATACTGTGTCATGTCTTCATTCATACCTCTTTCTCCTCCTCGCAGGTTACATTCTGCAGTACTCAGAAGATAACAGTGAGCAGTGGGGCAGTTTTCCCATCAGCCCCAGCGAGCGTTCATACCGCCTGGAGAACCTGAAGTGTGGCACGTGGTACAAATTCACTCTGACGGCCCAGAATGCAGTGGGACCAGGGCGCATCAGTGAGATCATTGAAGCTAAGACTCATGGGAAAGGTGTGGAGTACTTTTTTATTATTATTATAATACTAACAAGTATTAATATGCGAACAGCAGTGCTACAACATTGGGTATAGTTGACCAGGAAAGGGTGCTTTTAAAATAAATAATATACCCTAACCCTATACAACAAACTTTATGCCATACCTACCCCAAATTAGCAGTACTGGTAATAACATAATAACATATTTTTTAATGTTACTGCAATCAGTTAGGTGCAAGCTCTTTAATGAAAACTTTTTTAATGCTAAAATATAATTATTGTTGTTTTCTGTGATTTTTTTTCTATTTTACAAAAATGCAGAAGATCATATGACCAAATGAAAGTTATTTACTTATCATTTTTAGTTTTAAAACAAGTTTTTGATATTTGTGTTTATTGTTTTATTTGTGTTTAATAAATTTGTTATGTGCTCTGCAGTCAAAGCAAAAATAGTTGTTACAGTTTTCCCACAGAGAGAGGATTCATGAGCTTAGATGAGGGAATCCATATTTGGACAAGATGGTGACATTTAGCAGCTAATGCTAGCTAGCTTCAGTGGCGAGCTTGGTGCACCCACACAGTCATGTGTGGGTGCACCAAGCGGGCAGACATAGATATCTGCTAAATAGTGGTGAACTATATCTAAAATAATACTTAAGGTACTTTGATTTCAATCACTGATACTGACTTTGTTTTTCAAGGTCAGTTGGTATTTACTTGCAAAAGTTCTAACTTTCTTTCTGTATTCTCTTCAGAACCTCAATTTGCCAAAGAACATGAACTCTTCACCAGCATCAACTCCACGAGGGCCAGGCTCAACCTGGCTGGCTGGAATAACGGAGGCTGTCCAATCACCTCCTTTATACTGGAGTACCGAGCAGTGGACTTAGGCACCTGGACCACAGCCCAGCGCACATCGCTGACCAAGAGCTACATCCTGTACGAATTGCAGGAGGCGACGTGGTACGAACTGCAGATGAAGGTCACCAACAGTGCCGGCTCAGCAGAGAAGAGGATCACCTTTGCTACTTTGAATGCTGACGGAAGTGAGTTTGGATTTTAACAGTTTGCATGTTACGGATCTTTGGATGAATCATGGATGACTCAAGAAATCATAAAAATGTTTAAAGAAATACTAAAAATGTGAAAAGTAGATGGAAGAAATGTTATTAGCAAAATTGGGCTCTTACTAAAACGAAGGTCTGTTGGGAAATGTTTAACCCGGTCATTCTATTGCAAGAAACCAGTCTGAGCCCAAGACTACAGTATATGGTCAAACATACTTAGATGTTGATGCCAGATTTGGAACTTGTCAGCAGAGCGCTGGGGAGTCTTAAACACCATCAACACTACAGGGTTGAGTTGATCTGGTTGCTGAACACTTCCACGTTGCAATAAAACCATTTTTAATTGATCATGTAATATCTAGGAATGAAGAAATTCCAGAAACTAACTTGTTGCAATGGTGGCATCCTGTTACAGTACCTCACTCGATTCCAGTGAGCTCTTTAGAACGACCTATTCTTTCACAAATGTTTGTAAAGGCAGGCCATATGGCAGGGTGGGCAACTCCAGGCCTCGAGGGCTGGTGTGTCCTTGATCCAACACAGTTGATGGCTAAATGACCTCGTCAACATGTCCTAAAGTTTTCCAGAGGCTTGGTAATGAAGTAATCATGTGATTCAGGTGTTTTGACCCAGGGTGATATCTAAAACCTGCAGGACACCAGCCCTCGAGGCCTGGAGTTGCCCACCCCTGCCGTATGGCTTGGTGGTTGATTTTATACAGCTGTGGCAATAAAAACATTCAAATTAAAAGATTTAGAGGTGTGGTCCCGTACCTTTGTCCATATAGTGTATTTACAATGATTGCAATTAACAGTAATAATAATAGTAATTGTTTATTTATACAGAAAACTGTAGAGTGTTCCAGAGTTTGAAGAATATTTCCAAAGAGCAGAAAAATTTCAAATGAATAACAAGGTATCCTACATGAAAAATACACAAAAATAGCTCATAATAAGAATCAAAATATATTAGCTGTTAAGAAGGGTCAAACTGTTAAAGGAAGACTTGAATCGAAGGCTGTTCTGAGCCGAGGAAACACTACAGCAAAAGTGTGATCCTTTCGTTGCTTCTCAGACTTGAGAGGTCTGTTCAGTAAAGCTTCTGTTAAATACTCTGGTGCTGTTTGCTGCTCGCAGCGTCGGCGTTACACCATAAAGTGCCATTCTGCACTTCTGCCTACAGTCGAGAATGTATTTTTTATTTAGATTGTCTGTCCCACTGTTTTATCAGCCTTTGAACAAGGCTCAGTAAGAGAATGGGGATGGTCTTCTGATTCTCCATGGGCTGTGGCGTCGCTCTATTTGCCTTGGGCTACAGATTGTGTCAGTCATGCACAAAGGATCTGTGAAGAAGGATAGGAACTTGTAAGCACTGTGCTCTCCAGACGGTTAACTTATTTCCTTTGAAGAGCTTTGCTGAGATGTGTAAGCTGCCTGTAAGGGTGTTATGTGTGCGTGCATGCATGTATGTGAGTGAGTGTGTGTGGGACACAAGTGTGTGTGGATGCTATTGTGAGTGTGAGGGTGGGTCTACAGCTTAATGCAGCTGCTGAGAAGCAGTCCTGCTGACTTAACACCACATATTCAGTCTGCTACAAACTTGGTTCCCCATCATCCCCCCACCAGCTATGGCAGATGGCTGCCCCTCCCTGAGGCTGGTTTCGCCAGAGATTTTTTCCTGTTGAAAGGGAGTTTTTCCTTCCCACTGTTGCTAAGTGCTTAATCAAAGCAGTCATTTGATTGTTGGGGTTTTCTGTATTGTTGTAAGGTCTCTACCTTACAATATAAAGCACCGGGAAGGGACTGTTGTTGTGATTTGGTGCTATATAAATAAAAATAAATTGAATTGAACTGAAAAGGTTTTGAGACCAGGAAGAAAATAGTTTAACTAATAAATTAAGACCAGATGAAAACAGCTACTTCACAAACATAGACAGGAAATGGACAAGCTGATCCAATGTTGCCAATGTGCATGCCGTTTAAAACAGCACCAAAATGTCACAAATACATATATTTTTGCAAGTTAAAAAGTGTGCAAAGGTTTGCAACCATGTTAACCAGGTTTAAATCCACCGACTGGTCATGTGTACTCGAGTCTTCTCTTGGGGTTCGGCTGAATCCTTTGTGACATCCCTATAAAGAACACGCATGTGGAAAAGCAGCATCCTAAGAGAGAATTAGCATCTTATCATCCCTGTATTCTTTAACTGTGTTGCATAAAAGCTTATCTTCAGTGTTTGTCTTGCAGGAAACCATTAACAGCACTTTGTTGTTGTAGAATATTAAATGTTTTTGAAGATTCAAAAGCAAAGTATTTGAAAATGTTAACAAATGTTGTTTTTTCACCCTCCTTTCAAGGCACCATCCCTCCTCTGCTGAAAACAGGAGATCCCATCTCAGACAACATGTCAGGCAGTGGAGGTCTGAAGATGGTGGTGACCATCACCTCTATTCTTGTGGTGGCTGTGCTGGTTTTTATTATGCTCATGGTGCTAAAGAGGAGAAGGCGGGAGCAGAGGCTCAAAAGACTCAGAGGTGGGTTGTAGATTAAGTTGTGTTGCTTTTATAATTTGTATGAATTTGCATTCTGTTTACAGTGTGAAGTGTAAATCTGGTCCATAAACCCAACATGTTTTTGTGCAAACCTGATCTCCATTACACAGATAAGCACTCGGACAAAAATGTGTTGTGTAATTAATCTTAAATGTAAAACTTTAGGCTTAGTTTGCCTTTAAAATGAAGAAATTGCCTCTGTGAGTATTTTGCACCTGGCGCCTTTCTGTAAGAGTTGTTGTCAGTGATTGTAGACTCTTAGCGCTGCTGTGGATTATCAACTAGGACAGTGCTATTATAGTATATTAACTGCCTCTTTGCTGACTTCACAGATGCCAAAAGCCTGGCAGAAATGCTGATGAGGTATGTGTTCCTAATTTTAATTTATGCACACAGCTTTCCTTTGAGCGGGGAACATAAATCACTGTGTAGCCCGGAGTTACAGTGCCCATCAGTAAGAATCAAATATAGTGCATGCACACTGTCCCTCCTGCTTTCTTACAGCTACTTATCAGCTTAAATTAAATTGAATTAGCATTTCTGCAATATAGTGCAAAATCACAGCTGAAAAGTAAGGATTTTTTTCCTATTAATCTCCTCAGTAAGAACACCCGGACCCCTGACACAGTGAACAAGCAGCAGCAAACGCTAAGAATGCACATCGACATCCCCAGAGCACAGCTCCTCATCGAGGAGAGAGACACCATGGAGACAATCGGTAAGGCCCTCAAAGTCAGACTTGTGCGTCTAAGTGTAAAATATGGACGAACTTAAAGTCTTTTCCTCCGTTTTGCAGATGACAGGTCTACCGTGCTGCTGACAGACAATGACTTTGGGGAGACCAATAAACAGAAGTCCTCCACAGTGACCCACACAGTCCACTACCAGTCTCTGTCACAGGCCACTGGACCGCTGGTGGATGTGTCCGATGCTAGGCCTGGAACCAGTGAGTCCCACCACCGTCAGTGCTCAACATTTATTTCCTCTACTACTAATAATACTAATACTACTGCAAGTGCTGTGCTGTGCTTCTAGAACACCGTTGAATACTGTCTTGTGGATAAAGCAGTAATATTGTTTTATTTGGTTGTTCTGCAGCTTCATCTTACACCATAAAACACAAACAGTAAAAGCTTTTCAGGGCAAATCGCGCTGAAGTACAGTACATGCAAAGCAAATGGGTTTTCCAGCCGGTCTGAGTTTAACAGTAGGCAGCTCACGTGGAGTATTGTACCACCTTTCAGCAGTGAGATGACAAAGCACAACAGCTGGGCTTCTGGTGTTTGAGTCCCACTGAAGCAGAAGTGATGAAGAGCTGTTATCTCCCTGCCTTTTCTTGACATATTCCCATCTGACTGCCGTGCTCCAACTGGCCAGCTGGACCCGAGTACAGACGCAGACCTCAATGCACACACTTAGTGATGTACCAAAGTGATTTTGTGCAGACAGTTAGCTGCAGATGGATTCACCTAACAATATATTGTGGTATTTGTAACACCGAGTCACGCGGTTCATTTTGTCCTAATTAAATGGCTTAAACTTTAAATTATTCATTTTACAACAGGCTGTTTGGAATGTAAATCAAAACTAAATGGAATGATTATATTCTACTTTATAGTAGAAGACTCAAGGTGCTGAACTGACAGGGTGAGATAACTTCCCTCTCCAAAAGTACAGCAGCAGGGTTCTTGACTGTAAAAAATATGACTGTAATTCATCAGAAAAGTTCTTAATTTTCATTAACATGTGCTTTTTAGCTTTACTTGATATCTGCCAACACATAAACAAGACATAAACAGAACAACAGCATATCTGTGCTCACATAAAATTGAAAACATGGGCACGAGTCCAATATTCATCACAGTCAAACACACGCATTTGCAGTCATTTTTAATCAAACAGCCACACGATTGGGTCGTTTAATTTGTCCGGTGGGGCATGAACCCAGATGCTGACTCTGCTTTTTTTTCCTCCTCCCTGCTGCTGGCCAAACACCTCCATCATTTATCCCCCCATCCGCACAGATAAAATTACAGCCTGACCTACTACAATTACCAGCACTATTCTTCTCTGCACAGATCCAATCCAGACCTTTTTTAAAGACTGAATCTGCCCAGCAGTGAATAGACCAGTAGTCTGTCTGGGTCAGGGTGACAGGTGACGGTTTGTGTGTCTGTCTGCAATGAGACAATTGGATTGAGTGTAATGTTCAGTTCTCTTAGAGAGAATAATTGTAGCTTTACATGAAAGCCCAGCAGGAAACTCACATATTCACTTTTTAAATCCCTGCACAGTTACAGAAAAAATGTGTTTTTTTGTTTGCATCCATTTGTCTCGTGCCTGTCATGTGTGGTGGACTCTGCAATGGTTGCTAGGACTAAATAGATCTATCCATGTCATTTAATAATTATTTATTAGATAACTAATAGTTAAACTAAAAAATATGCCTTTTGTTGTGTCAGAGGACTTTGGTGGTTTGAAAATTATTACCTGTGTTCATTAATAGTGCGACCCCCTCTGTCCTTACTTAGATCCCACTGCCAGACGCACTGCCAAAGCTGGTCCTGCCGCAGCACGGAGCCGATACGCCAGCCAGTGGACTCTGAACCGGCCACACCCCACCAGCTCCTCACACACCCTGACCACTGACTGGCGACTCCCCACTCCGCGTGCCACTGGATCTGTGGACAAAGAGAGCGACAGCTACAGTGTCAGCCCCTCACAGGATACAGGTAGAGCAGTGCTGTCCAGAAACAACATGGACTCATATGTAGCCCTTGGTAGAATTCAGGGTTTAAAGTTGGAGGAGGTGACGGAAATCGTGTTGCTGTTGGGAGATGTTCAAGTGTGAAGAGTCAGCATGAATATCACGTTGGCTTTTCTCTGCAATCCAAATCATTTGGGCTGCAGTTTTTTATTCCAAACTGCAGTTTTGGGGCGTACTCTTGGCTGAAGATTGCTGGGTACAAGTCCAACTTGAACCCACGCATTTTTTATATTTAAAACACATTAAATAATAAATAAACCTGAAAAGCACAGGAAATACGGCAATAATCCACATATGTGATAAACCGTAGCTTTTCATAATACACCATTCTTTACAATAACTAAGCACGTGCTATACGATGTGTGACTTGTGACCCTCAGATCGCGCACGGAGCAGCATGGTATCAACAGAGAGTGCCTCCTCCACCTACGAGGAGCTGGCCAGAGCCTATGAGCATGCCAAGATGGAGGAACAGCTCCGCCATGCCAAGTTCACCATCACCGAGTGCTTCATCTCTGACACCTCATCTGAACAGATGACAGCAGGGACCAACGACTACACCGACAGCCTGACCTCTAGCACACCGTCCGAGTCGGGCATCTGCCGCTTTACCGCTTCTCCGCCCAAACCTCAGGATGTCAGCAGGGTCATGAACATGGCCGTGCCCAAAGCGCACAGACCTGGTGAGGATGTGGTGTTTGTCACGCCCAGCGTACACACAGTTTGTAGCTGAACCACCCTTTCTGACAGTAAACTGCATTTAGATGTACAGAAAAGCTTCTATATTCGTCTTCTTCATTAGGAAAACTAGTTGAGAGAATTTAACCAGAAATCTAAGACAAAAAATGTGGGCAGCTGCAATCATTTATGCCACATGCTTGAGACTGACTGGGTTGCTCATCTGAACATAGCTTAACAGATGTTGCAGAGATCCATTTGCTTTCATGTGCACCTCTCTCACCTGTGTGGTTCGCACAGGAAAATTTGAGCTACTTCTTCACCAACAATGTGAGCAAACATGTCCTGGAAAGATTTTTGTTCTCCTGTTGCAGCCAACACGAGCTACAACAACACGAGCTACAACAACACGAGCTACAACAACACGAGCTACAACAACATGAGCTACAAGCCGACAGGCAGGTATAGTTTTGTGTAATGGGCAGAGCAGCTAAATCACATTACATTAAAGATTTTCTCTAACCTCTCTAGTCTTTCAACAAAACCAGTGACTTTGGTCTCTTTGGTTTTTAAGCTGTTTTGTAAATGACCACATATTATTCTGCAGAAGCCGGTCAGTTCACTTTATGGCCACCCTCTGCTTTAATTCAGCTGCCATCAGCTTCCCATCCTAAGGATGCATCCCCTTAGTCTTCACCCAGCTGGTGCTAAGGTATTGTCTCATTAAACCAGTACAGAGCTCTTTACAGGCCTCCTGGGAGAGTAGCTCCTTGTTTTGGCAACTTTTAGGCCCTTAACAAAGCAACAAGAAGAATTCCAATATGCAGTTTTCCCTGCCGAACCCCGGGGAAGCTCGTCATTGTTAGAAAACAAAAAAACGTTTTACTAGTAATTGATACGTATGTTTTGTTGTTTTTTTTAAACTGTGACTCCAAAGTTTTTCATTACTTCTGCAATTTGAGGTAGACCTGCTGTGCTGTGCTCTCTCCTCTCGGTTTGTAGTCTTACCTTACGTGACCCTTTGCTCCTCCTGGGAGATTTGCAGCTAAGTTACAAGATCTGGCAGTCCCGCTGCAAAGCTGCTGGCCACACACAGAAGCGCAGACATTCAAAAACACACACACGTATTCACAGCTCTTTTTTTTTTTTTTTTTTTTTGAAGATAAGACAACCTTTAGTCCCACACGTGGGAAATTTGTTTTTGTCAACCCCTCTGATCTCTGGGGCCACAGATAATTAGCAGAGTCGAAGGTGTTTGGAAATTTAGGTCTGTGTTGTTGTTATTTTGTTTCTCAACAATAAGCATCCCAGAATCTTCATTTTGACCTGACTGGGTTGAGGCCTCTTAGGCTTCATTATGTTTGTAACATTTATGCACAGGACGGCGGACTCGTATCACCAGTTTAGCGGAGAGAGAGGTCGGCTAAAGGCTATCAGTCAACCTAATCTCTATTGCCTATTGTCACTCGGCACAAAACGGCTCTTTACCGCCACACTGGAGACCTGTCAGTGTGATACCAGACTCTTTTCAGGCTGGTGTGGGAGCGCGGAGTGTTGAGACCCTGGTGTCATTTACATTAGTAATTGACACCAGGTCTGGTAGGTACGGCTTTTCTTAGCTGTATAAGCATTGTGTATTTTGCTGCCTTTGCAGTTAATGGACTATAAAATGACTACATGGTTTTCTGGAAGTTTACAGTTAACAAAGATTTATCAAAGCTCTATTTATTAGTAAGTTGTCTTGTAGAGTACAGAGAGAGAGAGATGCAAAACATTAACCAATCTGGCCAAAATTATTTAGAAACATTGTATGCATATTACTGTTGAATATGTGGATGCAGGATCTCTGTCACCCAGGTCATGGTAGTCCTGAGAGCTTGAAAAAAGAAGGGAATGGGCCTTCTTTTATTTGTGATGACGTGTCCCCCTCAGGATCATCTCCAAAAGGAGAAAGTCCCCAGAAGACCTTCCTGGCCAGTTACCTGGGACTGAAAAAGCCTATTGAATGAGAGTTTAAATGTTTTCAAAGACCAACAGAAGTCCAATTACAGGGAAATAGTGCTATCCAAAGCACAGGTGAGCATGGAAACTGGATGATAGGCGTAGTTCATCACTTATGGTGTGCACTTGCCCAGGACCGCTGCCGTATTAAACTTCTTAAAAGACATTTTTAATGCCATGTCATGCTTGCTTCTGCAGGTGTAGCCATACAGATGTGTCAGCAGTATCGATATTTCCAACAAGCTCTTAGAAGAGAGTGACTTTCCCAAAATGCCAGACAGCTCATTTAAAACATCTCCACACTTGTAAATTTTAAAAAATACAGACCCAGTGTGGAGGTTGTTTTGCTTGACTGTGGGTAAATGACCTGACTTCAACCCTATATTTGTCTCTATTACACCTGAGTGACATGAGCTCACCTAACCTGTCCATGCAGGGGTCAAAGGTGCTGCTTTCCACTGGGCCTTTGCAACAAATCCTCTGGGTTTACGGGGCCATGAGCAGCAATCGTCGCACAATCAGCTTGTAAATATTTTGCGTGTAGCTCTTCCTTAACGACACACATAATATCCTTTGCAGAAGACTACAGCGATAAGGCAACAGACACTTGCACAGATTAATGTGTTTGGCAGAGAGCTGCGGTTGTATCGTGGATACACATAACGCCCCATTACTGAACGATCGGAAATTTACTGGCTGATGAATTTTCAAACCACATTTCTAATGAGCCCCCACGGAATCACTTAAATCTATATTTAATTCAATCAACACTCCTCCTCATTCATCATCTTTGGTGGCACTAATAGGGCTTGTTATGAAACACAGTAAATTATTCATTCTCCCCGTGAACCCAGAAATCCATTCTCCAAGGTCACGTTGGGCTGAAAGTGCAAACATGACCTCGGCTAATGCTGTGCAGGCAGGAAGTGTGGGTCTACATATAGCGTATACTTCTGTGCATGTGTGGGCCGAGTACATGTGAGTGTGTCAGTGTGCGTGGGAGAGAGAGTGCATGCGTTGAAAATGTTATTTTAGCGTTAAATTGTACACGTGTTGAAATGTTGATCCCTGCTCCCGTGAAACATAAACGCTCCATGACTAATGAAACAGTGCAGGTGCTGCTCAGCTCATCAAGTGTTCAATCTCGCCGCAGAGCACCCAATCTGGTAACCTGACACTCTTTTGAGATTGGCTTGTTTGCTGTGTTAAACATGTAATCCACTCAGTAGAATGGATACAATAGCAGTAAACTCGCTGAACCCAAAGCGCCTCTCCTAATCCAACACCTCACAGGATTATTTAACAATTGACAGGACAGCATTTAGTCAAAGTTTATCACTTGGTCAAGATATTAAATCTGACCTGCTTTATGTGTCCACAGGCCTTTGAAGGTTCTTCTCATTCCTGCAGTGAAACACTGAGAGAAAAGTGCAAATTGACAAATGAATGAATGTCATACATATATGCTGGTGGCAGAGACAAAGGCCATCACTCAGTTTCATCGCTTTAAGAGGAGAGAGCCACTGCATCACTGCATCCGTCCCTGACAGTGATAGCAAAGTTAACACTGTAATATTCACTTTCCTATTACATTATCTCCTGCACTCTTTTCCCAATACCAACTCTTAAATTAAATAGATTCACAAATAGCGAAGATTGGTATTACATTAAAATAATAGTCGTGAATCATAATCCCGAGAGGGGCCCAAGGTGAGAAAATGTACCGGCGTGAATGTGAATTAAATATAGATTTCTTTTCCGGCTCTGTGCAATTAATTTAAACTGAGGGGAAGGAAGAACAAGCAGGGAGCCCAGAAAGTAGCTTCACTGTTTCAGGGCAAGCAGAGGCATCTCTTAAAATCAGCTTATGTTAAATGATATCTCAAAGATTTCTTTATTTCCTCTTCACTGAAGCAGTGCCTTAGATTGATTTAAATGCCCCTGATAGCTGACAATAAATAACGCTTCCCAAATCGATAGCAAATCAGCAAATGACCGCGTGTAATCTTGTAAGTGACGAAGAAGCCAAGGAGAATTATCACCCGACTCTATTGCCAGTAGCTCTGCAGAGCATTTTAATGGCTTTCACCTCATTGCTTTGGTTTATGGTGCATAACATAACTACTCATTAGTCCCACTGGTCTTAGCATTTCCTCCAGACACAGAAGCTAAATGATTTAAAAAAAAACATCCTGACACCCATTATAAACTGTCTCGCCCCCCAAAACCGTTAGAATCTATGTAATTGAGCATTTAGCAGCTAGAGATAGAAAAGACAGATATTTCCATCATGGACAGAGAAAAAGAAAGCTACCCAAGGTTGGTAACCCCACTGGCAACCTCCGGTCTCTAGAGAAGAATATGCATTCCCCAAAACAGATGGTGAGTAGTTGCTGAAGTTTTCTGGGTGAAATTGGTCACAGGAACCCTGGGTGCTGCACCTTGGTCTCTACCAGATTATTTGCATGGAAAACACAGATTTGTCTGCAAACACTCTCTAACTAACCACCTAGCACCAGCCAGACTAGGAGAACAATTCACCTTCACAGCCTCAGCACTGAGACCAACATGATTCAAAAGGTGCAACTCCATTGCAGTCCTCACTTCTTCATTACTGCTTTGTGAGTAAGTGACGAAGGTGTTTTCCAGACATGTCAGTGTCTTCAGTACAAACTGTGGGCAACTGCAGCAATCTGCAAGCAACCAAGCAACCTCAAGGAGGTTTGGGTGTAGCGCTGCATACTTCTTTGTGACCACTTTATAGTATTAGCAAGCATCCTCCTGCTGTGGTTTCTCATTAACCAGTGGTTGCCATGCAGTCTCCAACTGGTCTTTAGGCCTCTGTGAGTGGGACATTAGTTAGTTTCACAAACACCTTAGAAGCTGACAGCATTTTTAGTCTTTTTGCTTGTCTCCTGTGTGTCACCTCCCAGGAGGAGAGCTGGTCCACTTGCCGCCTTACCTCCGTATGGACTTCCTGTTGAATCGCGGCGTGCCTCTTCCAGCCCGAGGTGGGGGCGTCAGCAGCAGTAGTGGCAGCAGCAGCAGTGGAGGTGGTGCTGGAGCAAGTGGAAGTGGTGCCGGTGCTACAGGGGAAACAAGAGGAGGCGGAGGAGCCATGGGTCAGACCTGCCTGGAGCCCCAGAGGAGCCGTACCCTGAAGAGGCCACCTCCCATGGAACCCACCCCTATGGAAGTGCCCTCACCCAGGGAGGTTCAGCAGTGGCAGCCAGGAACTGCTTCCACCCTCCCACACAGGGATGTCCGGGAGAGGGGAGAGGCCCGTGGTGAGGTCCGGGGAGAGGTCCCTTCCTCAGGAGATCTAGCCCAAGCACAGGCTGCCAAGCTTAGCACCTCCCAGGAGTCACTGCTGGACTCCAGAGGACACCTGAAACAGAGCAACAACCCCTATGCCAAGTCTTACACTCTGGTATAACACTGGGACACAGAGGACTGCTTCAGACAACAGGACTACTGCAGACACACTGGAGGAGGAAGGACAAGAGGCAGACGAAAGGCACAGGACGGACAGTTTTCCACAACAGAAATTGTTGTATATAGAGCTGTTTCTGACATGCGTCTGAAGTGGATGCTTTTCTTTGAGTCTGTCTTTCTTTCTTTCACTCTTTTCTTTGTTTCCTCTCTCGCTCTTCTCTGTTGCTTTCACACCTTTCATTCTCTCACGCCTCGCTCCTCTTCTGATGAAATTTTCTCTCACAGTTTTTATTTTCTACTTGAATATTCTTTTATTCTAAAGTGACAAAATATGAGGATTGCCAAAATGATTTATTTAAAATTTGAGAAAGAGAAAAAAATACTATTGAATTTATATCAAGGACAATTATAGTCATTATTAATATTACTATTATTATATAAAACAGAAAATATTTAAAAAAGAAGAAGGGACAGGGAGGAGGACTCTGCAGGAGAACGTTGCTTTCTTAATTTATTTTTGTTTTGTTGTCGCAGTGTGATGAAATCTGTGGTTGGGAAACTGAGGGGGTTTTTAGCACTACAAGGAGCCAACAGAGGAGAAGAGGAGAGACCCCAGACGTGACCGCCAATGCTGACCAATCGTAATGTTTTTCAACCTTTCTGACGACTGCATGGCGACTGATCCAATGACAATTAATAGGAATGGCTGGACATCCCAAAAAAAAAAAGAAGAGACAGAGAAAGAGAATTTTTGTCACACTATGAAATTATACAATGTGAATATATATAAAGAGATCACTTTTATTTGTGGATATTATGGGGAAAATGATTTGGTTAATAAAGTCCTTAGTCATGTTTGCACACATCTGAGTTTGATTTATATTTCCAAAGATCAATATCCCTCCTTTTTCTTTAACCTGGTTGTTCTTATACTTTCCACCTACTTTCCTAATTTACCAAAAAACGGCAGCCATATCTGGTAATATCTAAAAGAGGTTTGATCAATGACCTCCTGATGGCTGCAGCCTGATTTTCTGCATATTTAACATCATTTTGACAATCTTCAAAGTTTTTTACTTTGAAGATTGTTCCTGGAAATGCATTAGTGTGCAAAATCCAAACACTAGTGCATCCAAAATAGATTAATAAAAGTAAGCTTTCCTTTACCTTTTGTTTTTTGTTTTAACTTTGGTAATAACACCTTACAGTTAATGAAAATCTGAAATCCTGTATCTTAAATTATTAAAATGTTTAATTTCCAGTGTGAGTAAATTACTATTCAGACAGTGCAAATACCTTGTATCACTATAGTTCAGTACACACAGCTGTCATTGGGGAACAATGCATCGAAGCCACAGAAGTTGACTGCTGAAAATATTAATGGAAAGTTGACTAGAAGTGAAACGTGTGGTAGGGAAAGGTCCACCGGGTGCAGGGGTGTTTGCAGCCGTGACAAGATTGTCAAAAAGAAAAAAAAACCTGTTCAACTTGGGAGAGCTGGAAACTGAACACAACGCACACAAAAGAAGAGACTATCACAACTAAACAGGAAGTAACAGAGCAGAAATGCAGACTTTACACAGAGACAAAAGATAAACAGACGAAGACGGTGACAGGACTGAGAGAGGGAGGAAATACACAAACTAACAACTAAAACTGTCAAAGAACTAAAGGCACAGATAACTGAGGTAAGGAAAGCAAACCGCAATATAAAGAGAACAGAAAACAACATTACAGAATAAGATTGATGAAAAATACAAAACTAGAGAAACTAAACATCTCAAAACCACAGTCCAAGACCCACAGAGGTTGCATTCGAGGTGTATGATCTGTCAGACATGGTCTAGGCTTCTGGCTGGAAGCTGTGCAATATCAAACCCGCAACTCCTCCCAGAGTTAATTTATTTCGTTTGGGGATAGTTGTAGTTTGGGAGTTTGTAAGATATTTATATAGCCATCACCATTTGAGGAAAAGACCTTCATCTAAAAAGCTGCTGGCAGTACAAAATATAATTAAACTGTAAAGGAAAAAGTTGGAAAAACCATTAACAAGTAAGTAAGAGATGAAAGGTTTAATGATATCTGGAAAACAAATCCATAAGTTGCTTCATTTGTATACTCATACAGCAGAAAAAAAAACTGAATTAACGTTTACCTTTTGCATTGATCGGCTGACTGTCCGCCGTCACAGTGGAACCATAACACTGATCATCTGACAGCACTTGATGTCCATTGTTAACCTGAACTATTCCCAATTTTGTGTGAATTACCAGTTACTGTGAAATCCATACATACATCATATCATGGCAATATGCAATTTAGAGATATCTGCCTGTAGAAAGGTAGGCTTAGTACACTAAACTAAAAGTAACACAAAACCACTTTAAAGAAATCTTAAATCTTTAAAGATCATTTTTTATTATTATTCTCTTATTTTTCTTATTTTGTCGAAACATTTCTCACCAACATAAGCCTCCACAAAAACTGAGCTGAAGCACAAAAATACACACATCATTAAAAAACAAACACGTCACGTTTTACAGAGGATTACTGGTGTGTAGAAGTTGTTTGAATGCAATGAATCGGTCTCTTGAGTGTGTCCACACGTCAGCGGGGAGCATGTAACAGCGAAGAACAACCTTGGCATGGCACAAGCATTAATTAAAACAGGCTTGTGTGGATGCTCGGCATTGGTTTTGATCAACAGATGGCACTGTGCAGTCACTGAATCGAGTCCTTTTGCTGATAACAAGCAGTGAGCGTGTGGACTTGGAGGAGGTGGAAAAGGATGGTTCAGCACCAAAACTATTTGTGACAACCTGGAGAGAAACATCAAGGGCAACCCAGCATCCATTCCAGCGTGTGTCTGCCATTTGCAGGAGCACGCCACCCCGAACACTGTGAATTATTCATGCCAGCGCTGACACTGGGGGCTAGATCAGGTTTACACTGTCACAGTGATCCCCACGGTGCCCCAAATGTGGATGAGACAGCAGAAGCTGGGAAAAGATTGCTTGCACCCCAATGAATAACCACACACACACACACACACTATGCTAATCCTTGGTGGTAAATCGATGCAGCTGAAGTTGCTTTAAGTTGTTCTGTTGCTGTTTTATTCTTCCCTTTATGGTGCGTACATTTGTCCATTCAGTGCAACACAAAAATGATCTGCTGCAGGCTCTGAAATTGGCTACCAGGAAAACTTCATGCAGTTGCTATAAATGTTTGCAAGGAAACGGTCACACTGGAAATCAAATTTAGCACCGTGGGCGAATGACAATAATTGCAGTTTCTTTTTTAAACCTGTGGACTCCCTTCGCTGGTGTGTGGTATTATAATAAAGATAGATTGCCCACCTGCACACCAAGAATACTTCATGCCTGTTCACTTGCCCTCATACATTAGGAAGAAGCAGGACTGGGGTGTTAGTGTGTGACTTGCCTCCTGGCTGTGGGCCATTATCGCGCCTCCAACCATGCTCAGCAGCCACAGAGGGAAACTCTGAGATAGTGGAACGGGATGAGGAGGTTTTAAAGCTAAAAGTGTAGTGCAGTGGTTTGTAACCGTTCTTTCTTTTCCTATATGAATTCAAGTAACCTTTAAGCAACACTATGCATACACTTTTAGTTTAGTTAGCTGTTCTATCCATTTATCTCTTACTTGTCTCTGACTTTTCTGCTAGCTTGCTTGCGGAATAATTTTGTGTGCACAAATTTCAGATTCAATATGTGGGTATACTTTGTGGGGAAAAATATTGTTTATTTTGAGCAGCAGAATTTGCCGTACCGAGTAGACCTCTCCCACGGGAATGAGGCTGTACTGTATGACTGCTAATTTTCAGAAGGAGCCCTTGTGTGCTGTGGTGCAGATTTTTAGAAGATTTCTTCTAACTCTCCTAGGAGGATACCATAGCATGATGTGCACTGTCAGTGAACATACGAGGTTAGGAAGAGTCAAGAGAGCTCCCAGGTGGTTTTCATAATGAGGTGCCTTAAGAGTTGGTAGGAGACAGGGGTGCAATTTAGAGAGCATGAAACGGAAGGAAATTCCCCCGGAGTTCTCAGATTGTTCCCACTGTGTTTATCTCTCCGAGGCCCATTATTTTTCTTCTCAGTCTTGACCTCCATCTCGCTGCTCTGCCTCTGTATTGATCCTGCAGCGTCTGTCCTTGTCTTCAGTGAAGGACTTGAAGAGCACAGTATTTTTCTGACAAGAAGATTATTTCACATGGGTTCCCTTTGTCATCTCAAGCAAACCAGTGGACTTTCAGTACTTAACGAGTTAGCTGTGGAATTGTAGGCCAACAAATACACTTCAGATGTTTACACACTCTCATCGTGGACATGAAGTTCATGGTAATTTTGGGCTTTTAATCATTTTTTTGAACTCTTCTTCTTCTGAGGTAGAATGATTGTAGAGCATACACCTTTAAGGTCAAAAAAAAAAATAATTGAGTGCATAAATTTAAATTTATTCTCTAATCCACACTGATTAAAAAAAAAGAATAAAATATACATACACCAGCAATAATGAGACATTGCTAAATGTCCCTTAGCAAGTTGCACCACGACCAGACACTATTGGTAGCAATCAACAAGTTTGGGTTAAATATTATATATATGGTAGATTTAATTTAGACTGGTTAGTTTCCTGCTAAAGACATGGTTAATAATAATGCAAATTTTCAATAGAGTTGAGGTCAGGGCTTTGGGAAAGCTTAACGCTAGCATGCTTTATCCATTCCAAAACCAGTTCTGATGTGTGTTTGAGATCATTGACCTGGTTGAACAACCAGTTGTATCTAAGTTTCAACTGTCTAGCTGTTGATTTGAGGGGAAGTTGAAGAATTTGGAGGTAACGTTTTCATTATTCTATCCATACCTCTGGCAATTAAACAGCCCCAGTGCATGATGCTACTGCCACCATGCTCGACAGCTGGTACACTGGTCTTAGGTTTGAAAGCCTCACCTTCACTCCTCCAAACATAACTCTGGGCATAAAATGTTTCTCCAGTATGCATTTTTCTTGACCATGTGGGCAGCTGCAAATTTCACTCACTTAAAGGTGCCGATTTTGGTGCTACTTTTTTGCTCATCAGTTTCCTGTTCATGGCAGACTTAAGCCTTGCAACTAGTAGTTAGTCATGAGCTGTAATTCGAAGTTTGTAGACCTTGCTCATGTCATGTAGAACCATAAGAACCATTTTTAAGTGATTTAAGTGGTACAGTGTACAATTATTCGACTCTGGAAAAAGAATAGTTCAAAGAAAAGAAGTGAGTGCTCAGGAAGTCACTGTAGTCAAGGACGCAAGCTGTTTGTTAGTTGGTTTGATAGCTATGATCCCTGTCAAATATCTGTTATTATAATGAAAAACTTAATACTGTCATGTAAAACATTACAGATTGCAAATGTTTGAACAATATTGATCTGTCTAAAGGAAGAGATCCTGTGTTATGGACTACTAAGTGATGGATGGTCTGATTAAGCCAAGTCGATGTTGTAAAAAGCTGTTGTAATTGCTCACAGTTAATTAGATACTGGCAAAGAGTCATGCAATAAGGAGTTAGAGCTTTATAAACTCGAGTGAAGCACTAACACAATCAGTGTTGCAGGTTTGTTTCTCATTGAAGCAGCTATATCATTATATATATCATGAAATGAGCTTCAGATCAAGGTATCAATGTATCAGTGTAGCTGGTGTCTGAAAGCAAAATCCAGATGCTCCTCAGCAACACCAGCAACCCAAACAACTGCAAATCTTTCAGAGAATTGCATCATACTTCATAATTTAATCATGGTGGTCTGCGAGAGAGGCATGTTGTCAATAATGTGTGCTTACTATGTCTCGTGACTTTACACA